GTGTGGCCACAGTAGTGAGGTTGGCTCAGGATTGGGCAGTGTTTCGTTCTGCTGTGCATAAGGTCACTATGGGTCGGTACCGACTCGATGGCACCTAACAACAACAACAGCGGTTAAAACCCACTACCTGCAACCTGGGAGAGCTGCCCCAGGGCCAGGGGTGGGGATAACAATGTGGCAGCCTGCTTCAGTAAAGGGTTCACACAGCCATGGAAACCCAATGGAAGCCTTTCGCTGTGGCCTAGATACAGGGTTGTTCTGCATAGCAGTCTCCACTGGCTAAGGCAGTGACAACGAAAACAAGGAGATAATTAGTATTCCAAGCTCCTAGGGTTCTTGCATTAAATAAGTGATTATAAAGTTGCCGCTCTTATAGTAAGTTACTAGTGCTATTTTCCTCATGGCCCAGTGCCTGGTACCAAGTTATTGTAAAGTGCCATCAAGTCGGTTTCGGCTCATAGTGATTCTCTATAACGTTTCCAAGGAGCAGCTGGTGGATTTGAACCACTAATCTTGTGGTTAGCAGTCCAGTGCTTATCCTACAGAGCCACACCAGGTAGCACTCAAATATTTGTTGAAAGAATGAATATATATCCCAGACACTGTGGTTCTCAACTGAATACGAGTCTACTTCTAAAGCAGCACATGAGTGGGTGAATGGCTGAGAAAACAGCTTTTAATAGGATGGATCCACCCTGCTCAGAAGTCAGTTAAGGTTTTAATGAAAATTTCTACCTCTACTGATGGTGTTGGTGAAGAATACTGAATATTCCGTGGACTGTCAGAAGAAGGAACAAAACTGTCTTGGAAGAAGTACAGCCACTCGGAATGTTCCTTGGAAGTATGAATGGCGAGACTTCATCTCACATACTTTGGACATACTATCGGGAGGGACCAGTCCCTGGAGCAGATCATCATGCTTGTTAAAGTAGAAGGTCGGCAAAAAGAAAGGGAATCCCCTCAAAGAGATGGGATTGACAGTGTCTGTGAGAAGGAACTCAGATACATCAATGATGGTAAGGGTAGCGCAGAAGCGGGCAGCATTTTGTTCTGCTGTGTACCTGGCTGCTCTGAGTCCGAACCGACTCGATGGCACCTAACAACAATGACACTGGAACTATAAACATGTCATTGAAGACATTTTGAACAATGGCTTCCATCGTATTTTAGTTAACCAAACCTCTATTGTTGGACATTTAGGTGACTTCTGTTTTTTTTCAGCAGTATAAATATTACTGCAGAAAGCATCGCTGCGCATAAATCTTTGTGCACAACTGATTATATATCCTTGTGATAAATCCCTGGAAACGGAAATTGCTGGGTTGGAGGGTCTGAACGTCTTCAAGGCATTTGACAGAAAATGTTACGTTGCTTTTCAGAAGGGTAACAATTCACATTTCAAGCAGCCCTGTGTTACGAGTGCCCATCTAACACCCTGCGCTAGGGCCGAGCATTATTATTTCTTTCATCTTGGTTAATTTGATGATGGGTGAAAAATGTATTAAGTTTGTTACTGAACCATGAACTACATCAAAGATTAAAACACACATCCACACACCTCATAAGCCGGTCTGAACCAGAACGGAATCTATATTTTCCAAAATGATTGAACTGTAACATCAAAATATGCTCTGAACTGAAACTCAACCAGTGTTTCAATCCATTCAAGTCTCTAATTGGGCCATAAGGGGACCACACTGGAAACCTTGACCATCCCTTGACCTTGTTAACACTGTCCTACAACCAGCAGCTTACACAGGGCAGAACGCCTAGCCATGTACCTGTAAGGAACCATACAGGGGTCCAGTTATGGGATAAGCACACACACCCTTTAAATTCAGAAGACACAAGGAAAGACCGTGCCTTGGCCTCTCTGCACGTTGAGAATCCAGAAAACAAGGGTGGGCTGCCACTTGGCGGTTCTGGAGGCCGAGTGGCATTATGAAAGAAAGTCAAGTATGTCTGGGTGAGACCCAATTTCAAAAAGCTCCAGGAACCAGGTAAACAAAGCCTTCTTGGTTTCAGCTCTCCCCAGCTAATAAATTGATATGCTGAATCCGCTGGTTCCCAGCCTTTCCTCCCTGCCAGCCAATCATTTGAATCCTTTAGTAGCCCGGGGGCCAGATTACAGACTTTTAGAGGCTCGCCTGGAAAAGATGCAAATCTAAAACCCTCTTTCCTCTCCCTAATTTCTTTTTTTCATTTTTGGAGGTGACACCCTTCCACATAAGACTGTCTACAGACATGCACGACCCAGTGCCGCATCCAAGTGTGGGGCCTCTTGTTCCTTCCCACAAGATCCTGTCTTTCCAGATGGGGATGAGGTCTTTTGAGAGCAGCCCCCATGCGAATGCACCGGTCACCGGACCTCGCTTCTTCTGGTGGCTCCCTGTTTTAACTATTATTACCTAGGAGCTGGGGAAGCTAGGTTCTGACATCCGACATTCCCAAAGGTCGGCCTTGAAGAACCCGGCTCCCTGGCGCTGGTGTGTCCTCCCTAGGGCTAAAGATAAAACTTAAGAGCTGCAGTAAGAACTTTCCTTAGAGAAAACTAATCAAGGACCTTTCTTTGTTCCCCTCACAGATCAAAATACCCATCCTTGGAAATGAAATGTGTAGACATGATTGTCACGCTTTTACCAAACACAAACTCGGGTGTTTAACGAGAGAGACAAACTGCAGTGGGCATTTGGGTAAATTTAGGAAACTCCATTTCCCTGTATGTATGAGTGGTTAAAATCTGTCTACTCCGTGCCTCGATTGGTATTTCGCTGCAGCAGGCACTGAATTCGGTTAACACTTCCACAAGATGACTGGGAGAAACTGCGTTTCGGGTTAATTTGATGAAAAAGCGCATTGTGATTCCCCCTTTATGTGCCAGTCTGGGGCGGGCAGAGCCTGGCGTGATGGAAGGTTCTGGAAGATTCTTTTAAGAGTGGGTTCCTGGGAGGAGTGGGCACCCCGGGGCTAAGTCGGCGGTAGGGTGGATGGGTGCTTGGGGTCCGTGGGATGAGTCTGGGACCTTGGGGCGCATCTGGGTCTGAGGGGCTGCTCCTCGCTGGCCAGGCCTTGCAGGACAAGGCTGAGGGGCTGAGGGGCCGGGCAGCGCTAGGCCGCAGGGGTCCGACTGGGAAACAAAGGCAGGGACTAAAGGCGGACAGCGTAGAAAGGCGGGCGCCGGGAGGCTGGTTTAAAGGAGAAAAAAAAAAGAAAATCTCCTCAGACAAACACACAGAGGCCGGGCTAGATCAGGCCCAGAAGATGGAGGCCACCGGCTGGTTTCGCGCCCTCCCGGGCGGAAGGGATATGTCTCCGGCGGGAGGCCGCAAACGCCATGGTAGGCGGGGCGATCCTCTGGCTCGGGGGCGGGGGAAGGGGGCCGGGCGCTAGGCCCTAAACACCAACGGAGGGCCGAGGAGAGTGTGTCTCATTGGACGGTGGCCGCCAGGGGGTGGGGCTTGGCGCTGCCGTGAGGTTGGCTCCGCCCCCCGAGCCCCGCGGGGAACGTTGGAGGCGGCGGCGGCGACAGCTCAGGTGGCGGCGGTGAGCGCGGGGCGGGCGCGCGCGGGGCGGCGGCTGCGATTGTGGCCGCCGCGGTGTCTTCGCCCGGGCTCGGGGTCGCTGGGCTGGGGAAGGCGAGGCGCCAGGGTGAGCCCGGCAGGCTTCGTCTCGTGAGGCGACGCGCCCCGCGCCCCTCGGTGTCCGTCGGATCGGGGCCGTGGGGGGAGGGACGAACCCCGATAAGGACCTTCCCTCAGGGACGTTTGCTCCATCTCGGCTGCGAACCCTCATCCTCTGCCGCCTTTAGCCCCCCACCTCTCGTGCCCTGAAATCGACCTTGGCCTAAAACCAAAAGGCCAACCCCGTGGCCCTTCGACCCAGAGTGACTCTTTAAAACAGAACTGCCCCAAAGGGCTTTCCGCAGACTCGAACTGCCCATCTCTTGGTTAGTATTTAATCACTGCCCCACCGGGGCTCCTTGACCGAAAGAAGGTTCCCCGACCCCCAGATCTTCTCATTGCTGTTCGCAGCCTCACGGAGCTCGGCCACTGATGCAGCTGTCCCCGTCCTTCCATTTCGGGGTGTTTTTTTTTTTTTGGCACTGTGAACTGTTAACTCCCCAAACAGGGGAGGCTTGTAAGCTTTGATGGTTTAAAACAGACTCCAGTGCGGAGGTTGGAGGCAGGCCTGGAGCCCAGAGATGTTTTTATTCAGGAGACTTAAAAATAAGCTAGACAGAACCTTGGGGAGGGACTCTGGCGGTATTTTATTTCTGAAAACAACACGAAACCCAGGCGCCTCCCTAGATACCACGGGCAGCCTTTTCTGTGTGTCAGTGTGCTCTTTGCAAGGAGCATCTCAATGCACAATTCCAGAATTGAAGTATCTACTTGGAGGGTAAACCGAACTCACCTTTGCCCTTGAGGGTTGCGTCTGCATTAAAACGGCAAGCAAAGGAACGCTTTTATAAGGCACTGTGCAAATTTTGTTGCAGGGCACATCAGCATCAGACCTTCAAGCACTGTGTTTGTGCCAAATCATTACTACTTGCCACATGAATCTAAATCGTGATGGATGCCAAGTACGTCCTCTGCAGATGGAAAAAACGATTGTGGCCTGCGAAGGTGACAGCCATTATTCTGTAATTTCACGAATTAGAAATGACTTTTGGGTGACAAGTAAAATCTTTATCAGGAGATACCTAGGAGTTGCCACAGTGAAATAATTGAGCCTGAACAGTTGGCGCCAGTGTATGTTGGCACTGGTCTTGTTCCTCGTTAAATGGAATTTTGGTCTAGTGCTTACAAGGTTATTCTTCCAGAAGGTGGGTTTTTTCCCCCCTCACACTTAAGGTTTTTTTTGTTTTGTTTTTTAACAGAGTCAGCTATAAAAAGACATTTAAGGCTGTAACTCAAGGAAATAGCTGGCAAGGAGCCCTGTGATAGTAAATAACGGGACGCATTCTAGCAGTACAGTAGAGAGAGCGCTGTACTGGAAGGCAAAACTCCTGGGTGCTGGTCGTTGTCCACTACTGACCTCTTCTCCAGTTTGCCCCATCTGTGAAATAAACTGGATTCAACCAAGTGTCTTAGAAATCCTTTGGTTATTGATTTTCAGAATTACCTGCAATGTTGATATTCTTATATTGCTACTGTATCTTTGTCAGTTGTTAGTTTTCTCTCAATAATGAGGATTTCATTGTGGTTTTTTTATTGTTGTTTTTTAACATAGGTTTTGGCCAGAACCGAGACTTCAGCAAACAATAAAAGAAAAAAGGAATTTTTTCTAGATGTTCAAATCCTCTCCCTGGATGAAAAGTTAAGTGTTGTGGGTTTTTTTTAATTTTGTTTTGTTTTTAGTATACTTACCCCCTCCCCGCAAGAAGGAGTTTCTGTACCACATAAAAAATTAAGTACCACGTATGCTGGTGTGAAGTGCCATCGAGTCAGTTCTGACCCAGAGTGACCCTGTATAGGGTTTTCAAGGAGCAGCTGGTGAGCTTGAACTGCCGACCTTGCAGTTCAAAGTCCAGCGCATTAACCCACAGCACCACACCAGGATTCTTGTATGAGGGAGCTTTAAAAAAGTTCATGTAAAAATTCCAGATCTATGAATTGCATTTTTCATGAACTTTTTGACGTCCTCTCATGTTAACTCTCTGTGTTACTGTTAACACATTATGAGGCAAATCGCTGTTTCTGTGTCCGTTTGGAAATTGAAAGTCAGTATGAGGTTCTTTTGTCAGGTCTACACAGAGAGCACTTAAAATTAAATAGATATCCATTATTATCGGAGGTCACCTCTTTAGGGTTAGAGTAGAGATATTTTTATACAGATTTGCACATATTTCTGTTTTTGTTTTTTCATCTGAAATCTGTGTGACAGACCCTCCATTTTGAAATATTTGACTTTTGAGCCTGTCACTCAATAAGGGACTTTTAGTCAGCCTACTGAAGGCAAAGAGATGACTCGATTGGCCAGCTCAGTATTCCTCCGCTCTTGACGACCCTAGTGTGTTGGAGAGCCCTAGATCACTGGCAATGATGCTGCTTAAAATGTCCACATCGTGTATGATTGTGATGTTGGCCTGTCTAATACAAGAGTTCCCAACTCTAAATCAAGCGAGAAACGCTATGGAACAATAGTTAATGCTTTCTCGGTGCTGCGTGTCCCTGCCCTGCTCCTCGCTGGAGCTGCATCTTCAGAGCTGCCTCCTAAGCTTGCTTGGTCCCCAGCTCACACTTTCCCTGCGGCTGGGAAGGTAATTGAATACTTGAGTTTAAAAGGAAAGCTCATCCTTTTAAACTAAGATACACCTGCTGGGCTGTAAACAGCTTTTAGTGACATTATCATCGGCTCTGAAAATCTAACAAAGGACTTATTTGTGCAGTTGAAAGTAGGATTTGCCTCATAAAAGTCACAATTTGAATTCATTTTTACTCTTAAATCCAGTCAACCTTTTTCTGTCTTAAAAGGAGAAAGAAGAAAAACAAAACACAACCTGGGCCCTTGCTGCCTCTCACCTCAGGCGGATGAATTCCTAGTTGCCTGTGACTTTTGGTTTGAGTAGAAGTTGAGAAGGAGGAAAATGAATTGAATTATTTTGTCATCTGAAGGAAAAACATGTTTGAAACTGTCTTGGCGGTATTGACTAGTGGCAGGTAACGGTGGTTTCTGTCTCTGCAGAATTAAGGTGAAAAGTACAGGCGTCAAGAGCCTAAAGAAGTCTCAAATTGAGGACATTGCCTCCTTATTAGGTAAGAGCTTGCTTCTAAGTAGCTGCTTAGTTTTGATAAAACGGGACAGTTTGGGAGAGCTTTTGAAAAGCTCAGATCCTTAGGTAAAAGTGTACTCCATTCACCTTCTCTCACCCCCTCCCACTCTTACCCTTTAATACCAGGGAATGTGAGTTCCTTGTGTTGAAGAAAAAAAAATAGATAACTTCCTTAAACTCTCTTAGAATTTGCCCCTAGAGCCATCCTGTTCTTGAGTTCTAGAAAGGCCATGGTGAGCTCCTGGGACTCCTAGCTTCCGTCTGTGGCCTCCAGTGTGGACAGGGCAGGCTTATGAAGGCAACATCTTCTCGGTTTTTCCTCAGCTCATATGAAGTGGTTCTGTTGGGGCCTAGCAGGCCTGGTCTCTGACCTTGGGCTGCAAAGCAGTTAGTTTTGTCTTTACAATTCTGCACGGGAACCCAGAGGAAGAAGGAATGGGGCCCCCGAGCACCCTGCATTGATGGTTGCCCATTGTATGTAGGTGCTGTCTTAGGGTGGGTGGGTGGGTGGGCAGGCTGAAGATGGGATCTCTGGCCTGTTCCTTCTTGGCAAGCAGTCTCTAACGCCTTCACTTCTGCCTCTTACCCTCTGTGTTTTAGAGGTGAGTTTTGTAAGCCCAGCCAAACCCGGGATTTTCCACATATGCCTGCACAGACAACCAGTAGACATCAGCGATTCCTCACTTAAATGAGTTGGAGCTAATGACTCTAAGCATTAAAAAAAAAAAGGATTTCTTCAAAATGGGAGTATTTATTTTATTTGCAAATCCGAGTTTGTTTTGTGAAAATGTTGAACAGAATGCTTTCAGATGGTGGCGTGTATGAAATAAGGCCTATCTTCATATCATGTCAGAAATAGAGCTATTGTTTCAAGCAGGCTCTGTCCCCGTAAACCTGAAGTGTTTCCCACCATCTCTCAAGCACTGTCCTCATTGTTCACCCAGATCGTGTTGGGGGGCTAGTTATTTGGGGGCATCTTGAATATTAAATGGGAAAAAGCTGTTTTGATGGAGGTATTATGCCTGCTGAGTGGTGGTATTGCATCCATCATCTTGTTCAAATAAATGCGCCCTATCTGAGTGTCGGGATGAATAAATAAAACCACTGCGGCTGGGGCTGGGGCTGGACTCTGGAGGCCTGTGATGGTTCGTTGCGGGTGTTGAAAGGCCCTTGCAAAGAAGTATTGAAAATGGACCGGCCCACAATGAGTTTTTTAATCGGTGGTCCCTTGCCCCCCTCCCAACCACGCTGCACTCCAGTAGAGCTCTTTAGAGCTCTTTATTTAGTCGGCATTGGGTTTTATTGACCCTGATGGAATCTGAAATTGTAAGGCCCAGAGAGGATTTGCAAAACATTTGAATACATTTTGCATGTGGTATTGTTTTGTAACTTGGGCAACTTTATCTTTCTAACCGGTAAGGTTAAGGTCAGTAAATTTGTGGGTTGTTTTTTCTTTAAATGAGGCCATACAATTCTGTAGGAACAGTTGTCGTTTTGTAGCCTTGTTCCCTTTTTTGGGGGGAGGGGAATGTAGTTGAGACATACAGGCCCCCTCCTCACTCATTTGGATAAGAAAACTTAAGATCAGAATTTGTGGCTGTCTTGCCCACTTGACGTCCCCCGGCATTGTGTTTTCTGTCCCTGCAGCCTCACAGAATGAGGCCCTGGCCCCACCCCTGGAGGAGTTGGCCTACAGACGCTCGCTTCGAGTGGCCCTGGACGTTTTGAACAAGGTTGCTGGTTTGCATCAAGAAAGCCGTCCAGGAGAAGAAAGGACTGCTCTGTGTCCAAGTGAAGCCAGTCTCCCCACTGACTTGGCCTCCCCACTCGATGCCTCCCACTCGGCCTCTTTCCACCCTGAAGACTCGTCGAGTAGGCCCCCGCCTGGAAGGAGGGGTCTAGCCCAACACAGCTGGACAAGTCTGTCCACTTGTAGAAAGGATATCAAGTGCTCAGTGGCCTCCAGTCCGGGGCTGAGGGACTGTCGGGACTCCGAAGGCCTGCTGGCCCCTCCACCCAGAGCCAGTCCTCGGTACGGAAGCAGATCTCACATACATCAAGAAACCTGGACTCGTCCAATTCCAAAGCTGAGAAATGGTGTCCAGAGGGCCAGCTTGCACCAGAATGGACCTTCCTCCCTCTCAGGGGGAGAGAAGGAGGACAAGAGTGAGGAGGGGGCAGGCAGCCCCCCAGTCCCAGTCACTCCCTCCAGAGCCAGGATATCCGTCTCCTGTACCAGGGTCCTTAGGAGCCGCCTGCTGTCCCCTGCGGGACCGCCCCCTGCGCGCTCAGCCTGCCTGGACACTGAAGAGCTCCCTGTGAAGAGGTTGCGTCTGGAAGGCAGCCAGATAGCATCCACTGGGGAATCTGAGGTGGGGCCCGTGGGGCACAGTGTTGCCAGACACCCTCCCACATCCTCGTCGGGCTGTGTCCACCTCCTGGAGCCCTCGAAGGCCGGAGAAGGTATGGCTCCTGTGCTGGGAGGCCAGGTCAGGCTTTGGGAATGGCCCCTTGTGTATTTCTAACCAGATCCTAATGAGCTCACTACCAAAATAGACGCAGAGTGAGAGTTTCTAGGCCTTTTTGATTCCCTGCCCCACTGGGCTATAATTACCTCAGCCTCTCCCAAACAGTTGTGCATTTTTATTTTTGTCTGTAACTGGAGGGGACCTAGGAGGGGCCGGCGGTAGAGTGTAGCTGAACGTCTGCTCGCTACCTACTACAGGAAGCATTGTCCCCGTGGTCAGAATGCCGCGGCTGCTCCCCAAGGAGTAACTCTCTTCTTTGGAACTGTTGCCGGAGCAATAATGTGATCCCATTAGACTGGGCCGGAATCTCAGAAGTGATTAACGCACTTAGGAGGCCCCTGGCTTTCGAAGAATTCCTGCGTCAGTCCGTATCTATCCGTGTGGTTGTAGCCAGCCGCTGTGGTTTTCCCCATTTCCACGTTGCACCCCCAGGCTTATTTTTGAAATGCTAATTCACAACTCTTAGTCTCTGCTTGTCTAGGGACCCTGAAATGTGCTGTCACCGCACCAACTCCACGGGTGTCTCGCATTCCTTTCCTCAGAGCCATCACCTTCGTCCCCAGGCTGCTGCTTTGCCCCATAGTTGACCGTGGGTCCCTGGTCCTCTCCTCCACATGCTTCCAAGACCTAAGCCACACGAGCACAAAAGAAATCCCCAGCCAGGCTTCACTCGGCTTCCAGCGTCTACATTGCTGCTGCTTTTCGTTTTCCTTTCCTTTGTGAAGTACAAGGCGTGTAGCTCCCGTTGCCCCCTCTCTTCCTTTAATACTTTCGTCTGTAACTGCACTTTAGTGGAAGCAGAGCCCGCTGCATTTGTGGTGTGAACACCCCCTTCCTACACTGTCTCAGGCAGTGCGGTGAGAGTAAGGCTCTGTTGTTGTTGCCAGAACACCAGTCTTCTGAGGGATTGCTGGACTTTAGTCCCCTTCATTCCATCCTGGATGAAGATGAGGAAGAGGAAGAGCCCCCCAGGATCCTGCTGTACCATGGTAAGTGTGTCCTCGGTCATCAAGGCCCACTTGGTGTCCTGGAACCTATCCTTTCCCAGTGTCTTCCATGAGAGGCCTCACGCCTCGGAGAAGGCCTCATGTAGCCTTGTCACCAATAGATAACCTACACCAGGCGGGGTGGCTCTGAGCGACCCTTCCTCAGTAGGGATCCGAGAACCGGCTGAAGGGATGCTCTGTCCCTGCTGGCCGTGCCCGGTCCCGGAACAGTGCATTTTGAAAGCACTGACTTCCCGTTGGCATGGAGGGAGCAGAGGCAGGCCGGCAGAACTGTACAGTTAACCTTTTCAGATGGGCCCATTGACCTTTTTTTTTTTTTTCTTTCCCAGTTTTCACGTCTTTCTTTTGTAAGATACTTTTTTTCCCCGTACCATACAATGTGCCCATTAACCGTTCATCTTCACGTAGTCTTATGTTTTAAATATTCTTATGGGTTTTTTTTTTTTGGTTTTTCATTTAAGATTAATGCTCGATTCATAGGGTATCACATAAACAGTACAGGATGGTCCCAGGACCATCAAGATCAATCCTTGCTGTGGTCCAAGCTCCCTAGTGTTACACTTCGTGTGTGCGTGTGTGTGTGCGCGCGCGTATGCACTCTCATGCAGCCAACGACATGGTTCGAATGTTTGCCCACTGTTCTGTCAGTGACCACTGCATGCTTCCTTGTTCTTCACTTGGTGAAATGCTGGATGTTGGTCACTAAGGCCAAGCAGCCACCTCCAGCTGGTGGTCCCTCGGGGTGCTCTGAGGGCTTGCGTGTTCTAGGAAATGGTTTCCATGGGACCCAGTCCCAGGACAGGTCACTGCTTCTCAGAAGAGCCCTTCATCCACACTGCCTTCAGCAGGGGCTGGGGGCCCTGGCGGAGAAGCTGGCAGATGCTGAGTGGACTTTCCTCTGCTTTCATTCTTTCTGAGTCTTTCCCCAACTGGCCTCGCAATTGGCTGTTTTTGTGTTTTTGTCCCTGACCCCTTTGTCCTCTTGGGGCCTAATGTTTCTCTTCAAAACCAAATTATTCTCACTAGGTGGGTTGTAGCTAACTCCTATTTTAGGCAAGCGATTTCCGGGATTTGCTTCCCACTCTAGTGGCCTGTTTTTGACTTTTCCTGACCTTCTCATTGTTGTATAGTCAAACTTGGCGGCTGCGCCCCTTCTTCCTTAGCATGGTGTTAGAGCTGAGGGAGTCCTGCCTTTACCTTCTCTGATCTTATTATAACTTGAGTTGTTCTCTTTGTAACCATTATCATACTGCTGTTTGGTTGCAAAGCTTTATCATCCCCAAGTAGAAACTCTGCGCCCATGGAACAATGCCCTCAACTACTTAAGTAAGAATTATTTTTCGACATAATTTGTTTCCTCACTCTGGAATTTGGGGTAAAAAGTATAGCCACATTGTTACATTAACATAGTCTTGCAATTATCTTGTGATCATATAAATAATAGTTTTTCCTCTTCTTCTGAGACCCCGATTTCTCAGACAGATAATGAGCCAGGAAATGAAGTGCTTACATTTGGGGCTTTTCTCGTTTTGTATCACACCTTTTTTTTAGTGATTTATTTTGGGATCATTTAAGCTTTGCAGAAACAGTTGAGAGGGTCTGTCGTTCCCCTCCCCAAATCCCCTGGACCTCCATATCCTACCGAACTTCACACCACCCTCTGCATAAGATGCCATTGTGTGGTTAGGTTCTTGTAATGGGCAGTTAGCCAAGGGAAAGGGCTTCTGATTCCCTCAGTGCTAGTAGTAAGTGGAGTATGTTAACAAAGGCTTCCATGATGTCACAATAATTGTATTTTCCCAAGCTGCTGCACCTTGGTGCTTGATGCAGATTTGATTTGTTCTTTTTGTTTTTGTTTTAATTCTAGAACCACGTTCGTTTGAAGTAGGAATGCTAGTCTGGCATAAATACCAAAAATACCCCTTCTGGCCAGCAGTGGTAAGGATCTCCGCCGCCACCTCTTCATCCCCCTGGGTCTTTGTCCTGCTCCTCCTGAATTCTTGATAATTTGGCAAAATGTTTCCCCTGTTTTATCATTGGTCAGAAAATTTGGTGGGTCTATAGGCACAATTTCTGGAGACACACTTATATAAAGGGAGGTTGGTCGTTTGCCGCAATTTGGCTTTAGACTTTGCAGGTCAGATTTTTACTAAGCAAGACTACAGAACCCTGCTTGGGTGGGAGGAGCTCGAATATTGGACCTGTCTTCTTTAGGGTTAATTTAGGGTTCCTGCCCAGAGTGAGTGTTGTGTCCAGAGACAGGTAGTTCCATCCCAGGAGGACCGTGTCTGAGGGAGTCCTAAGGGACTGGGCGGCACACAGCTGAGCTGAGCGTCCGTGTTCCCCCCCCCCCCACCAAGAGTCCACATGGGGGGTGGGGTATTGACAGGCGGGTCTCAGGCAGAGACAGCCCTGAGTTCCACTGTTTCCCTACTTCCCTTTCTGCCCGTCATTTCCTGCTTCATCTTCCTCTGGCCCAGGCAGGGTTCTGATTCTCCCAGCTGCATCTCTTTAATTTTTTAGTAAGTTTTATTAATTGTATTAAATTTAAATCCAAAAGGTCCATGCTTTGCAGTAGTCAAGAGATGCTTTTGTTGTTTTCATAAACCTCTGGCAAGTATTCTTATTTTTTTGGCAAGTATTTTTAGATAAAATAAATTCAGAGGTTAAGTAGAGAGGACGAGACTCCCACTGAGGAATTTAGTGATGACGCCTCAGGACTGTGTTGTGAGGGGCTGCATTTATTGGGGTCCTGCACTGCCCACCTTCTTGTCTGCTTTCGTTGGCATTCCTTTTGCCAGTTCCATGGGGTTCCCACTGGTAACGGGTTTGTCTGACTCCTGGGGTGTACGAGAACACAGCTGACCTTGGCTGGAATTTCTGGGGTTGGTGCCACACCTTAGAAAACGAGACACATTGCTGAGCCGGTCTAAGCGCTCCAGCTGTCACCACATGATCGAGGAGAACAGCCCCTGAGCCTGATGGTGCCCAGTCCCCACCCGTCTGCACTGGTGTCCCTTAGAGTCTCACGGCATGAGACTTGGTGACACAAACAGTGGCTTGCCAGGCTGCTAACCCAGAGACTGATGGTTCAAACCCAGCCAGAGGCACCTGTGAAGCTGGGCCAGGGCCTTGAAAAGCCTGTGGGACAGTCCTGCTGTGTCCTGTGGGGTCCTGTCTTGGGCCTGTCTAGTGTTGCCCATAAAGCTGAGTGGGAGACTGTCAGGGAAAGTATTTAAAACCCACGCTGTGCCTTTGTTCTTGACTCTCTTCCTGGATTTGCCGACAGGTCAAAAGCCTCAGGCGACGAGAAAAGAAAGCCAGCGTGCTTTTTATCGAAGGAAACATGAACCCAAAAGGGAGAGGGTAAAAACTGCCATTATTTGCTTTTCATAAGTAGTCCCTGTGCTTCAGTCCCCAGATGGACTTGGTGGCTGAGAGCAGAGGGGAGGACTTACAGACGGGGGAGGTGCTACTTCCTAACAAGGCCTCCATGTCACCTCTGACTGATCAGAGGAACAAAGGAGCTGACCAGACCCCACGATTTTCAAAACCATCAGCCGCACCTGCCAGAGCTGACCTTGGCCAACAGATAGTGCCCCTACCCTGTGAGGTCTTGCCCTTGGCTCCTTGGACTAGGTCAGTCCAGCGCTCACCTGTGGCAGCCTTCCACGCTTGTGCTTTTGCGCATTGGAGGCACTCTTTCACTCACTCTTTAAATTTTTTGTGGCCACGTTTTATGGTAGGCCAGACATTTTCTGTCAGCCTCTTAAGTTTTGGGGTGAGGACAGATGAGAACATGTCAGCCACACAAGGCAGACCCGGGGCTATGGAACCCAGAGGGCATAGTGGGCGTTACCCGGCCCTCTGGCTCCTCTGGGCCACCACCGCCTCCTGCTGGTGACAGAAGGTGTAACACCAAGAGCCCTGGTTGTCCCCTCCAGTGGCCTGTCCTTGCTGGGGCCCCACCGTGTTCCGTCCTCGGGACAGATGGTGTTTACTGAGCGTCGTTAGCCCCTGGGCAGCTGAGAAGACAGACAACTGTGGTGACTGATAGGCTCCCAGAGACTTGTTCCCCCTGCCTCCCCCCTCCCCAAAGGAGGGAAGCACTGCTTACCTGTGAGGTGATGCTGTTGGTTAATGTGTTCCTTTTCTCTGCATTAGCATCACAGTGTCTCTTCGAAGACTGAAGCACTTTGACTGTAAAGAGAAGCAGATATTGCTGGTAGGTGGACTGTTACCTGTGCTTACTTGTGGCTTCATTTCACAGCTGACCTGGGAACATGCCCATTTATCAGAAAGGAAATGGAGGTATTGGGGAGGAGGAAGGCAGCTGGACCCAGGTGTGACTCAGGCAGAACAGGCTCCCTGCACTGCCCGCTGCTCTGCGCGGCCTGTGGCACGTGCTTGGTCCTGGGTGGAGCCTCTTTGGACCCCTCGTCTGTTATGTCACTATCAGGCTGTGTCAACTGTGGAAACGCTTGATTTTGTCATAACCGACTTTCCAACAAACAAGATAAAAGCAGGCTGAGGGGGTTTAGGTAGATGAGGGCGCATGGAGCCTCTGACTGAAGATGGGGCCTCAGCTTCTGGTTTTAGCTGGAAACTCCGCTTGTTTCTGTAGTTGTGACAAGCCCATCAGACTTTTCTCTGAGCTTACAGGAGCTGGTTTCAAGCATGCCAGCGGGCACTGGGTGTCCATGGAGGGTTTTGTTTCTCTGTATTAAATGTTTAATTCTGGAAGGTCGACTCTGGCGCTTTCACTTTTGTGTTTGTATCTTTGTCGTTTCCTATGGTGTCTGTCGTCTGCCTTAGGTACCACAGCCAGCTCCTGGCGCCCCACTCAGCAGTCACTGGGTGGTGGGGTGACGGGTTGGCCATGCCCATGTCCCAGAAACACAAGAACTCTTGTGTACCCCCCTTGGCATAGCACCTCCCGTTGTGGGGCCAGGATCGTGTCTCAGATATGATGTGTGTTTTGTTACAAAACGGGGTGAAGAGAGCATGCTGGCTTCCAGAATGTCCTCCCTGTGGGCCGTGCAAGGTTGGCGTTGGAGGAGAAGGTGCCCAGGGCACAGAGGTTGATGAAGTGCTCACATGCTGACTGAGAAGGCCCATCCAGTGTCTCCAGGAGAGAAGGCAGCCTAGGGAGCCTGTGGATTGAAATGGCTGACAGCAGCCCAAAGTAACCCCGGAGGAGTGGGCCACAGCCTGGTTCTGCATGTTGGTTTGGTGCCTCTTGTCCATGCCCCGTGCCCCAGCTCGTAGATTACATGGCTGCCACCCCCAGTGTCTGGCTTCAGGAACCCAGGCCAGGTAGGGTGTGATCTAGCACACTGCTCTTGGCGCCTTCCCTTTGGCTGGGCTGCCTCATTAGGTCCAACTGTCATTGACACTGTCCTGTGGGCAGGACTTGGGTGCCGGGACAGCATGCCCACCATCAGTGAGGGCACCGTAGGACGCTGAGCCTGCCCCATGGCCGACCCTTCTACAAAGGAGGGACTGTGAGGTGCAGAGCCGTGTGGGGCCCCAGCCAATGCCTTGTCTGTGTTTTCTTGCAGCACAAAGCCAAGCAGGACTTCGAGCAGGCTGTCGGCTGGTGTGTGTCCCTTATCACTGATTACAGAGTCCGGCTAGGTGCGTGGGGCCCCCGGGGACGGGGTGTCATACCTAGCTACACCCAGCTCCAGAGCTGTCCATGTCTGGGTCCCAGCCTGCCAGTGTGCCTAATGACAGAGGCCTCTGTCCCCGGCTGGCTATGTGGACCTGGAGACACCCTGGGACCCTCCTCTCCTTCTCTATAGGCTGTGGATCGTTCGCCGGCTCATTCCTGGAGTACTACGCAGCCAACATAAGTGAGTCTGAGGACGGTCGGTCTGTCAACAGTATTGTCATAGGAGCAAAGCTGTGACCCCCACAGGCTGCGGACTCTAGACCTCCCCCACACACACACCCTGGTCACCTGCCTTCCAGCACTGGTCAGCTAACCTGCCTGTGGGAGCAGCGTTCTCCACATCTACTTAGCTTTTAACTGACTTTTTGTCGTTGATGAGAATCTGTTCATGGAACAAATTTCTCAACAGTTTCTCCACATGGTGTTGCTTTGATCTCATTGAGTTGTAACACCTTACCACTTTTTCCCAAACTACCCTCCCCAGCAACACTCCAGCATAGGGACAGCCCCGTCCCCGGTGGTCCGAGGGGGTTGGGGTGGATGCTGCTTCCTGTTGGGGTCCAGGCTCTTTCCTACTCTCAGGTTGAGGATGAGGTCTGTGGGGAGGACAAGCAGTTCTGTCCAAACAGGGACCCTTAGGAACATGCACTGAGCTTACCAGCCCCTCATGATGGGGTGTCAGATCCCACTGTCCCCCGCCCCCGCTCCTAGACCTGGACCGTAGGCCACCTCAATGTGTTTTTCCTTGCAGGTTACCCTGTGAGGAAGTCCATCCAGCAGGACATCCTGGGGGCCAAGTTCCCCCAGCTGAGCGGGGGGGACCCTGAAGAGCCAGAGGCGGGGAGCCTCCTAGGCCAGTCCCAGCCCTGCCGGAAGGTGCTCCCAGACCGGTCACGGGCGGCGCGGGACCGGGCTAACCAGAAGCTGGTGGAGTATATTGTGAAGGCCAAGGGGGCCGAGAGTCACCTGCGTGCCATCTTGAAGAGCCGGAAGCCATCGAGGTGGCTGACAACCTTCCTGAGCTCGAGCCAGTATGTGACGTGCGTGGAGACGTACCTGGAGGATGAGGAGCAGCTGGACCTGGTGGTGAAGTACCTGCAGGGGGTCTATCAGGAGGCAGGCAGCACGGTGCTGACGCGCCTCAACGGAGACCGAATCCGCCTCATCCTGGACGTACTGCTTCCCGAGGTGAGGGCTCTCCCCAGGCTTCCTGGCCCCGGCCGCTCCTAGGTTTCTGTCCACAGGTAGTTCAGTGTTTGTCTCAGAAAGGTTCTCCCAGGGTCCTGCTCCAGGGGACACTGCACAGTGTCTGGAGGCCTTGGTGGTGGTGCTGCTAAGGTGGTGTTGAGTTAGATACTGTTCAGGGTTCCAAGGAGTGGCTGGTGATTTTGAACCGCCAACCTTTTAGTCCAGTGCTTGTCCCCATGCAGTGAGGTGCTGCCGGCTTGAAGTGGGTGGAGGCAGGGATGCTGCCTGCCCATCACCCTGGAGAGAAGGACCTGTGCCGGTAAAGTTGTCATTGCAGCGGTGGTTCACAATGCTACGTGTGCAGCCTAGGACCGTGCTCCATAGGGGGCTTCGGAAGCAGATCATCAGGTCTGCCTTTAAGGATGCTTTCTGAACAACGTTACCACAACCACAGTGCCATCGTTTCAACTAAAAACAGTAACAATGATTCCTGAATATTAGACATCTATAAGGAGCTCTGGTAGCGTAGTGGTTATGAATCAGTCTGCGAACCGCGAGGTCAGCAGTTCGAAACTACCAGCTGCTCCGCGGGAGAAAGATGAGGCGATCTGCTCCCGTAAAGATTTATAGCCTCGGAAACCCTGTTCAGGGTCGCTATGGGTCGAAACCGACTCGACGGCACTTAACAACAACCACAACGCTGTGGATTCAAATGAGCCCCATGGTATTATACCTTTTACTTTTTCAAGGTAAATTGACAAATATTTTTGAATGTGCTGGATGGTTACAGTGGTGTGGATACTGGTCTCTGGTCCAGCAAATTATGCTGATGGTTTAAACCAGAAATTTCATCACCAGCGGGGATTCAGGCTTGGGACCAATCAAATGGGAACTGCATGGGATAAAACGGCTGGCCGTCTGGTTCCACTGCCCATTCTTCAGCCTGTGTGTCCTCCTGCAGGCCATCATCTGTGCCATTTCTGCAGTGGACGCGGTGGATTACAAGACAGCGGAGGAGAAGTACATAAAAGGACCATCTCTCAGCTACCGGTAGGCAGCCACGAGTGCTGCTGTGAGCCCTTCCAGGGGGCACTGAGGGTCTTAGAACACAGAGGTAGAACACAGAGGAGCTCAGCTTTTCCACACATGAGGGGTGCAAGCAAGACCTCATGGTGTGCGTTTAGAGTCGGAGGATCCCAGTGTTAGTTCAAAGGCCTCGGGAGGAAGACTTGTCCCTCATAGAAACAACTTCCGTCCTTCCTCTGCTTATCATAATGTTATTTCGTTTCTTTGCGTTGAGTTGTAATCCTTACTGAAGGCTGTGGTCTTTCATCTTTATCAGCAAGTGCCTCAGGTTCTCTTCCATTTCAGCAAGCAGGGTTGTATCTTCTACGTCTCACAGGTTGTTCATGAGCCATCCTCCAATCCTGCTGCCACATTCTTCTTATAGTCCAGCTTCTCGGATTCTGTGCTCAGCATACAGACTGAAAACTAGGGTGGGAGGTTACCCCCTGATTAGGATTTGTGGTGTGTTTCCTTGTGTCACGGTGTCGGGTCAGAGTGAACTGGCGTACTGGACTGGCTTCTATGTTGCTTGTCTAAGGTCAGAAGGTCTTAAAACTAGCTTCCTTGTGTCTTACAGGTGACTAGTGACTTACTGTCCATGCATGAGAGCCTCACGAATGAGACATGTTTCTATATCTCACTTCCTGTTACCAGTACTTCCACATACACGTTTTAAAAGCATATGGTGACCTGTACATTGTAGGATTTGAGATTATAGAAACATACACAGAGTCTTGATGGCCATGCAAGATAAACATTGCCCTGTTAACCTCAGGGACAGCAGTTCTGTTCTCGTGAAGACTTACCGCCTCGGAAACCTCATACAGGGTGCCTATATTTTCATGGAAACGTAGAGAACAAACCAGTTTCTCAGTTGTCTGCAGAGGCCCTTGCTTCTGTACGTGCGTGCTTGTAGCTCTGACTTTAAGGTCTAGATGTGTTTGCCTGGCAGTCCAGGCGCCCAGCTGCTACATGCGGCCCTGGCGGAGTTGACATCGCTGATGCCGAAGGTCCTGGTTTCAGATGAGTGGGTCGAGCTGATCCCAGGCGCCACCCAGCAGTGCAGTGCCACGTGCCAGGCCGAGTCCGCCGGTAATCTCTGTTGCAGGCTTCGTTTTTTGGACTTTCTCCCCCTGCCGCCCCTTCCCCGGGGCCATTTTAGGAGACAGGCATCCCCTTGGTTTCTGCCACAAGGAATAAAGCTGTAATCAAGATATCTCTTTGGCTAGTGTGTTTGCCGCCCTCCAGCTTTTGGCCCCGGTGCCCCTAATCCTGTCTCTGGGCACACTGCCAGACGTGTGTGAGCCAGCTGGGAGTAATTCAGGAGAGGGGCTTCAGCCAGAGCCATGGGGGCAACTGACCTTTTTGCTCCTGCCGACGCCCTGGTCCCGTCAGCGAGGACCTCGGCTCCCAGCGAGTGGGCCAGAGCCCACTGGGGCAGTGTGGTGGTTGGGAATCCCTGTCTCAGGAAGGCCTCCCTCCAGCCGCCTAAAGAAGATGGGATCTGGCTGCATTCACGAGTCTAATCCACTGAGTTCACAGAACCGCTTGGTCTTTCTGTACCTGGACCACATCCTCGTGCACTCTTCCTGTTTTCTGTTTTTAACATTTAATTGTGATCTGGGTGGAAATTTACAGAGCAAATTACGAGGAGCTTCCTTCCAAAAGTTTGAAAAGATGATGAAATTTCCCTGCACTTTCTGAAGCTTCCTTGTGTTGTTTCCGGTTAACAATTCACACACATTGTGTTTTCTGACACTGACTACGGGCCCTACAATGGAGCCGTGCTCTTCCTTTCCTACCCTCGGAGCTGTGGTTTTTTGGGGGTAAAATCCTGCCTTTTGGTATCATATTCTGAGGAGTGTGTTCCTCACAAGTGTTACTCTTCACATTGTAGGCCGGTCTGTTGTTTGGTTCAGTATCGGTTTCAGGGGTGTCCAGGGCCGTAGTCTCTGGGGCTCCCCCGGTCTCTCGCAGAGCAGTCGTTCTGGTGGCCTTTTTACTGTTGCGTTTTACGTTCTTCTCACTCACACTCCGTCGGGACCTTTGGTTGGGATTTTAGAGCAGTTGGTAGTGGTGGCCAGAAACCACTGGTTTGTTTCCCAGAGGCTGCTCCATTCTGCTCGAGTCTTTTGATTTCCTTCACTCTCCTTTATTCCAGATGAGGAGAGACCACTAGTTGTACCCTACGTCCAGCCACCACTGACCAAACTAGGATGTAGACCGTTGGTTTTTGTGGTCAGCGCTATGCCAGTTGACTTAGATATCCCCTGGCATCCTGGGAAGAGAAGGTCGGCGCAGAGATGGCTCACCGGCTGACTGAGGTCTTCTCCTCTCATCTCCCTCTGGGGGACTTTTGTGTTTTTTTTAACCCATTGCACACTGATGATGGTGATGCTTCATTTTAATCATCTTCCTTTTGAGAGGCGCTGCCATGCTGGACTGCCAGCCTCCAAAAGCCTTGTGACACAAGTCCTTCACAGCCTTCCTTACCTGCTGTGAACGCCTCAGGTGAGCTGTGCAGACTGACGCGCAGCATGGCGGCGGCGAAGTTAATTAGGGTGACCGCACAGCCCACAGCCTTATTACATAGGGACGTGGCCTAAATAGCGTGATCAGGGAGCGGTGCTCACGCGTGGCCTCTGTCCTCAATTTCATCTTCAGTTTTGCAGCTGGTTTCAAAGAATCTGTCCACTGACTTGGGGATGTTGTCTGTTCCAAATCCATCCTCCCTCCCCGCCGTCCTGTGGGGTGAGAAGGCCGCAGGACTGTGTTGTGCAAGGTTCTTATGTTGTGGCTTTTCTGATGCTTCGGTATTTTCTCTGCTCTGTTGGCCTGCTCTTGTGTATTACGTGTGAACAGCATGGAGGTTTTCTAAAGTTCCCCACCGAGGTCCCCTGTTCGTCACATTGTGATCCTGAGGCAGTACTGACTTCTGAGAGGGTCGGATAGTAACAGTGTTTTAATTGCAGAAATAGTCCGAAAGCCAACATTAGCCGTGGCACCATTTACAGGTGTACAGTTAGGGAGCTTGTAATTGTCACTAGTCAGTGTCACCAGGTTCCCTGTCTGTAAACACGCGTAAATAACTGATTAACAGGGAGGTCACTTCATGAGGGCAGTTTAAGGTTGCATGCTCTTTAAGACAAGATGACAGATTACTCAAATCAAGTGTCAATTTTGTTTTCTGAAGGGAGAAGGAGATGTTTGACAACCAACTGCTGGAAGAACGGAATCGGCGGCACCGGTAACGTGTGGACCCGTGCCTGGCACCCCCCAGAGGTTCAGTTAGGAAGAAACACTGCTTGTGAGAACTCTCATCTGCCCTCTGTTGGACATGGATACTTACTAGAAAGTGGGAGTGCTCTGTCTGAAAATCAGTGTTAACACACCTGCCTTCTTTCAGAAGGAACGATTCCTGAAGTGTTCTCAAAAAAGGAGAGAAGAGTATTTTGTGTTTTATAGTCTTAATCGAGGGCACACAGTCACCGTGTTTGTACTACATCATCTCTCTGCCATCAAATATTAAACAGCAGGAGTTTCAGAAGTCTCCGATGAATGTGTACCTCCAGAAGCAGCCGTTTACTTTTCTGCTTTTGTTCCCCTTCATGTGTTTTCCCCTTGAGACCGTCGAAGAATTCTCTCTGCCACTCCCATATACTTTTTTTTTTTTTTTTTGCGGTGGAACCAAAGACAAGCTGCTGTCATGTTTTCGCATTTGCTGTGGCTGCTTGTGTAGGACAATCTGAAAACAAATCTCTCATGGTGGCCTTTCCCCTGGGGTCCCTGTCCCCTGTGAATTCCCATTAGGGCTGTGTCAGCATATGGCTCATCACGCCGGCTGGGAGCTGGGCCCTCCCCCACAGTGGTCATTTTCTTTGTGGGGCAGCCTGGCCCCTTGACACTGTGCTTTGTCCTAGGCCTGATGCCTTTGGGAACGCAGCCCTTGGTTTGGAGCCAGAGCAGGGCCTGTGATTCCGCGGAGCTCGTCCAGCCCTCACACGTGGTTCTAGACACCCTATGGCAGGTCAGCTGAGAACCAAACACTGAGCTCTTCTAAGCTGACGTGAGGCTTCCCATGGCGGTCTCTGTCGGTGAGGCTGGCTTTCCGGCCTGATGTGAGTGTGAAGGCGAGTGTGCTCTGCTGCAGGCCAGCTCTACACGGGTCCTGTTGTGTTTGGTTCGTCTCTCCCCACCGAGAGCTGCTATGAGTGGATGCATCTGTTTGCCAGGTTGTCTCCACAGTAGCATCTGTCCAGGTGAGAGCTGGGCTGAAAGGAGCTCGTTGGAATAGAAGCTTTGCTGTCTTAAGACGTTGAAGTCTGTGAAGTTGATGTGGGTGAGGGTGGGATGACTTCACCCGATGCTGTCAGGACGAGGGCTACATGAGCCGCCCTGCTGAGCTGCTCCCCCGTGGCCTCACTTTCAGTTGTGGTTGACACCGGCAGGTAGATGAGATGCAGGCAGGCTCACAGGTGGCAGGAGTCTGAGGCTCTGGCAGGCGACTCCTCTCCACCTGTACCAGCACTGGTGTCCCCTCTGCCCACTGCCTCATGGGAAACCCCTCCTGAACTGGTTAATACCTTAGAGCAGCTGGCACGTCTCAAAGTACGTGGTATGCTCCTCCTAGGAAATGTCTGCAGGTTTGTGGAAACAGGCCCATGAGGGGCGGATTCCGTGACTGACGTATTTTTATATCTTCGTCTCGCTGCTTATCCGTATGGTGTCCTTGCAGTTTGATTATTGAGAATAATTCTTGAAACTGGAATTAAAAGCCTTCTTAGAGCTCTGCCTCTGTTTTTTGAGTCCCAAACGTGTTCTATGTACTTCAGGGGCTGGGGACATTGTGTTGACGCTACTACACAGAAAACAGCTGCCCAGCATGAACGTAGAAACTCAGAAAAACTGACCATCTGGTCCCTGAGATACCCGCAGGGGAGCGCTGATCCCATGGCGGGTCTGCCAGCCACCCGGGAAACATTTTGTTACTTCACAGGACAGATTTGCAGAGGCTATTTAAACACCAGCCTGAGTAGAGCGAACACTTGTCAGGTAAAAGCGGGATCTACAGTGACTCCGTGAAAGGTGCTGAAAGCCTCCATAGACCGCCATGCCCCCTCCCAGTCCTGGGCCATTAGAGGGACTTTGAGCCCCTAGAACTCTCTCCATTTCCTGTTTCCTGTGGGGTCTGAGGGTATGTTTGATTGAAGTCAGCCTGCAGCAGTGTCTGGAGGTCTATTTGTGCTCCAAATTGTAAATTAGACTGTCAGGAAGTCAGCTGACCTGGCTAGCATGTGAAATGAGAAAGGTTCTAGAACAAGCCCAGAGGAACTTGCTGAAGACTGATCCCTGGCTATCCTTCCAGGTGGTCAAGGCCTGCCTGCAGGGGGGCACCATCCACACCTCACCCACTCTCCCATCTGCCTCCAGCCTCCCCACCCTTCCTACCAACCAGTGGGCACATCTCCGTAGCAACTGCTTCATCCTACCTCAGCCAACCCCTGGATTCTCCACATCTGAGTTTCTGGTTCAGCACTGCTGAGCTTGCAGCCTCTCCTGAATGGGTACAGCGTGTGCGCTGTAGGGTGGCCCGGAGCAGCCCCTCAAGTTGTGACAACCACACATGTTCCCAGCCATCACCTAGTGTCCCCTGAGAGCAGATCTGCCTGGGTGAGAACCCCTGGATTTAGGAACTCCAAAGACCGGCTCTGACCTGACTTTGTTGTGAAACGCTGTCAAGTCAATTCCAACCCATAGCAACCCCGCGTAGGGTTTCCAGGGAGCAACTGGTGAGTGTGAACCACCAACCTTGCAGTTCAATGGACATTGCAGTCTGACGCATTAGCCCACAGTGCCACCCCAGGACTCCTAATGTTGCCCACATTGAAATCCACGCGCTGAGTAAGAAGAAAGGAGAAGGAAGCATATGGCCCACTGGGAGTTTATCCTGGTATGGACTGGTTAATGCGCTGGACTGCAAAAGGTTCAAACTGAAAGCTTGGACGTTCTGGCTCACCAGCCGCACCTAGGAAACCCCGTACAGGGTTGCTATGGGTTCAGACCTGACTCAACAGCACTGTGGGTTAATGCACTGTACTGCAAAGTCTGATCCACGAGGTCGGTGGTTCAAGCTCACCAGACACTCCTCAGAAAACCCTATACAGGGTTGCTACGGGTTGGAACTGACTCAACAGCACTTAACAGTCATGCTGTATCTGGAGTCCTGTGTGGCACTATAGGATGAACTCACCAATTTGCTCCTCAGAATTCCTATACAGGGTCACTGAGTCAGAACCTACTCAAAGGTACTTGATTAGCTATATAATAAATGACTCAACTTCTGTGAGAAGCTGGGCTGGCCAGTGTTGCATCACCGGAAGGCTGGGCCGGTTAGGCCTCTACTTCAGGCCTCCACACTAATGGGCCAACTGGCCTCAGTTCTCTCCATGTGGGCCTTGCTGGTTGGTGCAAGCCCCGAAAGCAAACTCAGCCAACACTCTTCATGGCCTCCTGCTCATCTAGTACTGCTATAAAGCAGGTGTCTTCAATAACCAAGTTTATTCACAGGGCTCCAGCCCTAAGTCAGCTCTGCAGCTCTGGGTGAAAGTGCTCCTTTTCCCCACTTTTGTCTTAGTTCTTTTGTGATCTTCATGTGGTATCCTATAGACTCAAAACACTACACTAACCTGATTCATGAACATCACAAAGAACCCATTCCAACATGGGATGGGATTATAAGCAGCACATTTTGTGAGGGACAGCCACCCAGAGCAGTGCTGTGTGAAGATGAGACAAAGGCATAAATGGTGTGGTGAAAGGTCATTTTCAATGCTGTCAAGATGATCCCTAGGTTTTTTGAGACTGTAAATCTTTAAGGAGGAAACCGATCGCCTCAAACCTCTGACTTCAGTTAGCAGCCTAACACTTAACTCACTGCTCCACCAGGGTGCCTCCATCCTTCCTGAAACCAAACCCACTGCCAAACCTGATTCCAACTCATAGCAAGCCTCCATGGGACAGAAGAACTGACCATGAATCTTTACCAGAGCTGTGTTGTTATTAGGTGCCATCAAGCAGGTACTGACTCTAGTGACCAGTGCACAACAGAATGAAACTCTGTCCGGATCCTGCACCGCTGTTGCCACGGTGACAATGCATCTCGGTAGAGTCTTCCTTTTCTCTGACCTTTCACTTCACCAAGCATGATGTCCTCCTCCAGGGACTGGTCCCGCCTGATGATATTTCCGAAGTAGGAAAGAGAAAGTCTGGCCATCCTGGCTTCCAAAGAGCATTCTGGCTGTACTTCTCTCAACACAGATTGGTTGGTTTTTTGGCAGTCCATGCTGCTTTTTAATAGTCTCCTCCAACACCGTAAGTAGCAGTCAAGAGATCAGATGACATATTGCATTGGGCAAATCTGCTGCACAGGAACTTTTTAAAGTATTGAAGAGCAGAGATGTCAGCTTGAGGACTAAGGTGCGCCTGACCCAGGCCATTGTGTTTTCAATAGCCTCATATGGATGTGAAAGCTGGACAGTGAATAAGGAGGATTGTAGAAGAATTGATGCCTTTGAGTTGTGGTGTTGGAGGAGAATACTGAAAGTGCCATGGACTGCCAAAAGAACCAATAGATCTGTTTTGGAAGAAGTGCAGCCAGAGTGCTCCTTGGAGGCCAGGATGGCTAAGCTTCGTCTCTCATACTTTGGACATATTGCCAGGAGGGAACAGTCGCTGGAGAAGGATGTCATGCTGGGTGGGGTGGAGGGTCAGAGAAAAAGAGGAAGACCCCCAACAAGATGGATCAGCCAGGTGGCATCATTGATGGCATCAAGTGTGGCAGCGGTAGTGAGGTTGGCCCAGGATCGGACATTGTTTCGTTCTGCTGTGCATGGGGTCGCTATGAGTCGGTTCCGACTCGATGGCACCTGACAACAACAACAACAACAACACCGTAACTCAACTACATCAATTCTTACACCGTCTTCCTTATTCATTGTCCAACTTTCACATGCATATTAGTGAAAATACCATGGCTTGGGTCAGGTGTACCTTAGTCCTGACATCTTACTTTTGAATACTTAAAAGGGGTCTTGTGCAGCAGATTTACCCAATCATCTTTCTCCCTTGGCGTGGCTAGTGGGACTGAACTGCTTACCTTGTGGTTGTTTGTTAATGCCACTGAGCAACTCAGTATAGGTTTTCCTAGGACTGGCTGGTGACTTCAAATCAACCTTGCAGTCCTTTGTTTACCCTACAGCACCACATCAGGTTAGCTGTCCAATACCTAACCCACCACACCATCCAATACCTAACCCACCACACCACTAGAATGCCTCCCATAGTTCCTCTGTTGTTAAGTGCTGGTGATTCAGTTCCAACTCATAGTGACCCTGTATAGTGTTTCCAAGGAGCAGCAGGTGGGTTTGAACTGCCTACCTTGTGATTTGTAGTCCAATGCTTATGCTACAGGGCCCCGCCAAGAGTCCCCTGTTGTTGTTAAGTGTTGTCAAGTCGATTCTGACCCATAGTGACCCTGTATAGGGTTTCCAAGGAGCAGCTGGTGAGCTTGAACCGCCGACCTCGTAGTTCAAATGGCTTTGCAGTCTGACACATTAGCCCACAGCGCTACACCAGGACTCCGGGAGTCCCCTAGGGGTCCTCAAACCCATCCAGAAAATGAGCTCATGCTTGCAAATCTATATCCTTGGCAGTCCCAGGCCCATCTCCTGGCCCTAGCACTAGAGAAAGGCTGAAAGAGCATCAGAACCCTTTCACTGACTACCCGTTTCCTGCCAGCAAAGATCCAGTACGGCTTCCGTCACACCAAGGACACAATAAAAAAACAAGGCTCCCAACGCCACCAGGAGAAAAAGCCATTTGACAAACCCAAAGTGAGGGGTATTCTACAGAGCATCCAGCGTTCCACAAAACCATTCAAGCAGCAGCCACAGTTTGGCTGGATGTGAACCCCTGGGATAGCAACCGGACACTCCTAAAGGGTTCTGCATAATCTGAACAGCAAGATTTAATGACAATGTAGCCATATCCATTAGTTCCTTGTGAAACATGGAGTACAAGAATATTAGACGTTTCCAGTGGGGGAAGTGAGCTCAGGTAATACGGCAATTCTGTATTGTTTTTGCAAATCAACAACTATTGTAAAGTAAAAGGTTAATTTAAAACAACAAACAGCTCCACAGAGTCACCAGTTGTTGGACACAAGAGGAGAGAGGGAAGAGAGATACAACACTTTGGGCTGCCAACTGAAAGGTCAGAGGTTGGAGTCCACCCAGAGGCAGTCTGAAGGTGAAGAACCAGCCACTGAAGTCTACTCTGACATACAGGGTCTCCACGAACTCACCTGTCAACTGTTTTTCAAAGGGAAAGGGCCTTTGTGACTTTGCCCCAAATGTGAAATTCCTGTCAAACATGCCCCTTCTAATGTCTTCCTATTGCTCTCGTCTTTTATCCTGACCGGGTGCCTTCAGCAGCATGCTGGGCCTGGGTGACGCTTTCCATTGCCCTCCCAGCTCTACACGCCTCATGTTTCTCTATCCCAAGAGGCCAGGGCTGGCTCTGCTCATCATTGGGTCCCCAGCCCATGGGAGGAATTTAGTAAACACCCATTGTGTTCCTTGTGAGGAGACCAGGCTTGCTTCTCACCTGTTTTTTTACCTGTCTGAACCCGTTTCCTCTTCTGTACAGCAGAAAGAATGAATAACCAGTAGGATTGTCAAAATGAAATGATACTATTTCAGACATATTGTCAGGAGAGACCCGTCACTGGAGAAGGATATCATGTTTGGTAAGGTGGTCAGAGAAAAGGAGGAAGACTCCCAGCGAGATGGAGTGGTAAAGTGGCAATATAAAAAAAGTGTGGCAACGATTATGAGGTTGGCCCAGGACCAGGCAGCGTTTCGTTCTGTTGTACACAAGGTCGCTATGAGTCAGTACCCACAACAACAGAAGATAGACATGTTAATATGGATGATGAGGCAGGCAATGTACAAGAGGGAGGTTGGCAGAGGAAGGATGAGGGCAGTGGAAGAAAAGAGCAATGCAAGGGTTAAAGTGAACAGAGGTAAATACTGATGGTACATGGAAGGGATCGCAATCATTGTAATGAAGGAAAACATGATTTTTTTAAAATGTAAAACTGATTATGTTCTCTGTAAACCATCACTCAATTCACAATAAAAGGTTTGTTCAAAAAAAAAAGATACACCCAAGAAAAGTAGTTTGCAAACTCTGCTAAGTTTTCATGTTCCATGATCTCTTTAATAATCAGTACTGGTTCTAAGAACGCTACCAATTTCAGAATGTTGAAATCTGGATAGAGAAAGGAAGAAGTTTGTGCTGAAATCAACGTTGGAGGTAGAAAACAGAGGGCTTTGCATTGCTTTTCTTCTGTCTGAGCCTCGACTCCTCAACTGCAAAATGGAACAATACAATCACAAAAGCACAAATACTGTGAAAAAGCAGTTGTACAGAAACCAAAGATTATTAAAGATGACAGGGCAAAAGGGAGAGAAGGAAAAAAATTGGGAAACTTTGAGTTTATGTTAATGGTGGTGGAATATTTTGTGATTGGGTAGCAATAATGGGGACACAGCATGAACGAACACTGTGAACGGTCCCACTGAATTGTGAATGTGGAAACTGTGTTGGGCAATATTTTGGGGAGTATATTCTAGCCCACCGAGACGGACTGGCACAGTGGCAGCAAAATGGGTTCAAGTATAAAGATTATGAGGTAGACCGAGCAGTGTTGCTATGAGTCGGTACTGACTCGACCACAAAAACATTAACCACAATGAAAAAAAATGTTTTATTATTGTTAACTGCATCTATATATAAATTCTTTTTAAAAAAAAAGAGATGGCCATCAAAGAAAGAGGGGAAAAAAGGATACCAGTCGGGGAAGGCAAAGGAGTGAAAGCCAGAACAGCCAACAACAACAAAAAAATAGCGACATTACTCGCTGGAAGCGCCCAATGCACTGCCGAAACCCGGGATCGAACCAGGGACCTTTAGATCTTCAGTCTAACGCTCTCCCAACTGAGCTATTTCGGCAGGGCGGCAGAACCTCGCTTTCACTCGGACTCCGCCCCTCCTTGCGTCGTCGGCGTCGTCAGGCTGTAGTGTACTCGTAGGGCACGCTGGGCGGCCTGTTACAGCGCAGTCTCTGTGGCGCAATCGGTTAGCGCGTTCGGCTGTTAACCGAAAGGTTGGTGGTTCGAGCCCACCCAGGGACGCGCGTTAAGTTTTGCTTTTCTTTTACCCTTTAAAGTTCCGTACAGGAGCCCAACGGCTCCATACGATAAGCACTAAACAGCGAACGATAAGGTCTGAGGTTTAATCCGCCAGCCGCTCCGCGAGAGAACGGTGAGATTTTCTTCTCCTACGAAGACTTTTAAAGCCTCGGCAACCCTATAAAGGGTCGCTATGAGTCGGAACCGACACGATGGACTTCACAAGTGTATAATAATAAAGAGGATGGGTCCCTCGTTTTTGCAAGGACGCCGGCTCCAAATGCATCCCACGGTCTCCGCCCGCCCCCATCGTCTGAGGTTGAGGAGCGCACTGTGTTGGTGGGCAGAAAGCACATGGGAACGTCCGGCCCCAGTTTCTGTTTCCACTCTCTCGCCGAGCCTCTTTGGCTGCCGCACGGGAACCCGGAGCTCTAAGGAGTTCGCACTTCAGAGGTTGTCTGAAGGCCGAGGCCAAGATGGCGTCGTTGTCTGGTGAGCGCGGCGCCAGCAGCGGGTCGGAGGCTGGGGGTTGGGCGGGTGTCTAAGGCTGGGGGTCGCGGTTCGAGAAGTGGAGCCGGGACCCCTGTCAGTTCCGGGCATCCACTCTCCGGGTCGGTCATCGGGCTCAATGCGTCCTGCGGGAAATGAGCACCGTTATTGCGCCTTGGTTACAGTCGAGAAAAATTGAGGCTCAGCGGGGCGCGACGCAGGCCCCTAGGTTCGGGAAGGCTCTCGGGGTGGGGGGTGGGGGGCTGCAGGGACCTCCGCCTACGTCCCCGAGGCCCCAAAGTGCTGTCCTTGAAGCGCCCGGGAGAGCGCACCCATTTGTCAGGTGGGAACACTGAGACCAGAGAGGGGCCTAGCAGCACCCGGGTCTCCTCATCCTCCCCGCCAGCCACGGGAAGGTCTCGCAGGGTGCAATCTGCAGAGCCCTCCCCACATGAAGGGGGTCAACGGCAGGCCTACAGCCCGTTGGGAAGAGACTGTTACTCCATGTGTCTGTCTCAGTCCAAATGCCGCTTAATTCACGTCGGGGCCAGAGACTCTCCCCAGGGGTGATGTGCGGTGTCCGCTGACCCTGGACTTCACACTGGCCGAGTTCATTGCTTGCACCCAGAGTGGAATGAAAGGCTGGTTTTCAATCAGATTTGACAACAAGGAAGTTTGTTGGTTTTGTTTTTTTTTCCCTTTGCCACACAAGCTCTCAGGCTCCCTGACCTCTCCGGGGACCACTGGTGGGTGTTATGATTTGCCATCGAATTGATTGCTGATTCCTGACAACCCCATGTGCAGAGTAGAGCTGCTCAATAGGATTTTTAGGGCTGTGACCGGTCAGAAGAAGGTTGCCAGACCTTTCTTCCGAGGTGCTCCTGAGTGGTTTTGAACCACCAACCTTTTGGTTAGCAGTCCAGAGCGTCAACATTTGCCCCGTCATTTCATCCCAGGTTAAGAACGTTAACACAGAGGAGTAAAAACCTCTCAGAGTGCCGGGAGCTAACTCTTCCGGTAGGGAAATTGGCTTGGAGAGGGACAGGTCACACAGGATTCCGATGCTGGGCCGTTGGCAGCGTTTCTCAAGGCGGCCTCCGTGCCCAGCAGGAAGGTGGTACAAGCTGTGTTCTTTGGAGACTTGTGGGCTGGCTAGGGCAACAGGACAAGGTCCAGGTCGGATGTGGTGGGCCATTCCGTGTTTCTGTGTGGACTAAGGCAGCTGGGGCAGCCGACTCGAGCGCTGACCTTCAGGGCTGCCCATGGTCTCTCCCATGGTCTGTCCACCTCCCACCATGTCGCATCCTGGCCTTTCTGGTCATGCCTGGTTCACCTGGATCACTCATACCCCAGGGCTTTCCTGTGGGCCCACTCCTCCCTGCAGCCCTGGCTCCTTGTTTCAGAGCTCCCTCCAGGAAGGTTCTCCATTGAAGCTTCCTTCGGGCTCGATCCTCTCTCCTGTCAGGGTAACATGGGCAGCATGTCTGTGGCCGGCCAGGCCGTGCCTGCAACCTATCATCTCCCAGTTCAGAGCCTGGTGCACTGCTGGTGGTTTCTATGGGTGTGTTTACTCAGCATGTGCCAGACTGAAACCTGACCCAGGATAAGCTGTTGGCCATTTGCAAATGGCGCGGGGCATCCTGGCAGCAGGAACTACATGTAAGAAGGCTCTGAGGCCCGAGGGACAGCCACTGACTGAGTGATGAATGAAGATGGAGGCACAGAGAGGCAGGCTGGTGTGCAGAGGGCTTTAAGCAGAAGGACACACTAGCTCGTAACTTTCTGTTGTTGTTGTTCATATCTTAAAAGACCCCTTGCCAGGAATTGGAGCCATCTGCAAGGTTAGAATGAGCACAGTTGGACACCAATTGCAAACTCTTGGGTTCCTGAAAGTTCCCTCAAGCTCGAGAAGTGTCTAAAGGCTGATGAAACTCCCTGAAAGCTGCTCTGAGTGACGGTGTCTTTTAGGGGACAGACACAGGTTATCAGAGCCTCGCAATCGGGTCGTGTCCCCCTGCTGGTCCTGGTACTGGTGTGTGACAATGTGCACAGAATCCTGCCAGCAGGGGAGGCCTACACCTCAGCCCCCAGATTTCTTAGTGGGCTCTATCACATAGGACGCTTGATTGATGAATTGCGACCCAAAGCCCTGGTCCTGTGTTGCCCTGCTAGATGGTTGAGGGGACCTGAGACAGCAAAGGACAGGCCCTCCCACCACCCTGCAGTTGGAAGACCCCAGGCCCAACCTCCCTGGACAAGGTGACACTGCTATGCACCCCTTTTTCACCAAGTGGCTGTGACGTAGGGCCAGCGCCTGAGCATGGGACAGGAAGAGGCAGGAGGTGTTTCGTGTTGTCCCTCCACTCCAGGAAAGGCCTGGCGATCCGCTTGCAGGCAGAGCCTCTGGAGCCGTTCTACCTGCAGCGTGTGTAGCAGTCACTGCGGGTCACAGTGGGCTTGTGGGTGGGCCTGTGCGCACGCCACTCACTGCCCCCCATCCCCGGCTTCTCTCCCCAGCTGGCCTGCTCCGTCTTCAGATCCTCGGACTTCGGTGAGTACCCAGCCGCTGACTCGGGTAGGGATGGATTTACAGAACCTCAGAGCTGGGTGGGATTCATCGGGGGCACATTTACAGGGGCACGTGCTGGGGTGACCTTATATGGGCCTCCTTGGACTGTGGCAGGACAGGAAGGGAGGTAGGGGCACAGCCAACAGAGCGTGGAGGGACAGATGTGTCCCTAACAGGGCGTCTGGCGCTCTGAGGAAGGAATGGATTTGGGCAGCTGTATCATGTTGTTTTGGTGAGGCCGAGGCTATCTGCTCCATCCTGGAGGCTCCCTGTGAGTCGGAATCCACCTGAGCACAGTGGGCTTTGTATTCTCACTGTAAAGTACAAAGAAAAGCGGGGAAAAAGCCCAAAAATGAAAACGAAGTGTTGTCTAGAGCTGCGGTTGGTGGGAGGGAGTTGGGCTGCAGCGCCGGGTGGGATCCATTTCAGCCTCTATCGTGACCAGACTGGAGCTCCAAGCCCCACTTCTTGTGTGAACAACATGGTTGGAATACCTGAGTCATTTGCAGTGTGGAGGCCTGCCAGGAGTCCGCCTGACGTGGCCACGTTATAACCTTGCATAGCACTTAGTGTGAGTCCTCACTGCGTTTTTGCGCCCTGGCCTGACCATCTCTGGGTATGTTCTGGAAGAAATAGGGTTCCAGTGGGTGCTGGCATCAGCGGATGTGGGCTGGCCAGTGGTGTGAGTACTAGACGTGTAGGTGGGAGCTTCTCAGATTACGTGAGACTGTGGACTTGGCCCAGCTCCATGAAGGTCCACTGACACATGGTTCTATTCCCAGCACATCCGGTGTGGGCACAGCTCTGCAGGCAAGAGATGTCCACCAGAGTGTGGCCACTGACCATCCAAGCAGGTGAGGCTGCACACTTGGCCCTGTGGTCCCTGCCCTCAGCCCACCCTGTGGCCAGAGTGGGCTTGCTAACAAACATGAGCACCAAGCCCCATCTCCAGACGAGGAGACTGAGTTCCCAAGAGGACATGGTCGGCTTGGGCCCAGCGAGCTGACCGAGTTACAGTCCAGTCCTCTTTTGTCCCTGACCCTGACTGTGTCCCTTGGACACTGCCACCCCAGTGTCCTGCTCTGAGGAACTGCTTCGGGTCACATCCCAAGGGTGGGATGGTAGGATGGAGCACTGCTTCCCGCCTGCCTCCCTGACCAGTATCATCTGTTCCCAGTGCCCAGCCTGCTGTGCCCAAGGCTGGAGCCGTGGTCCCCAAGGCCACAGCGTTTCCCAGTAGCCGAGGCGAGTATGTGGTGGCCAAGCTAGATGACCTTGTGAACTGGGCCCGCCGGGTAAGTCCCCAGCCGCCACCACCATGGGACCTTGCCTGTCCCTCAGCCCAGTCGTGTTCACTCCGTCCCCACAGAGCTGTGTCCTGGCAGACTGTGAATACACCTGCGCTCCCTCCCAGCACTGCATTTCGCAGGCTGCCGTGGGCACTCTGTTCTCCGCTCTCTGACTGACGCTAACCCTTCAGTCCCTGGTTGACAGGACACCCTCCTGCCTGCTGTCCAGTCCTCTGTGTATTCGCTTGTAATGTAAGAGTACCCTGTGGGTAAAAGATTACAGAGCAAATTGGTTTTCCATTGCATCATTTCTACACGTTTGGATTTGGGGCTCACAGAGTGTAACAGCACCCTTCCCACTTCGTCCCTGTGTTTCCTGTTCCTTTCCTGTCCCTTCCTACCTTCTGAGCTTTCTCCCTGGGCCGGTGCTGCCCTTGGATCTCGTAGGGTTGATGGTTCTTAGGGACGTGCCCCTCCCAGGTGGTTCTGGTCACGCTATGGGGCTGGCGATCATTTGGGTGAAAGTCGAGTCCTGGGGATGAGTTCGGGTCCAGGCTGAAAGTGTGTCTAAGGCCCATTGTCTGCGGGGCTGGGAGGGATCTATATTAATTATTACGATAGTGTGTGCTGAGAAGTGGGAATGCGGACAGACACCTCTCCCTGCTCTCTAGGTTAGCTTTGGAGCGTCCATGCTGCCCCTCACCTTGAAAGTGTGTCGTCCCATGTGTCTCCTAGTCCACATTCGTCCCAGCTCACATTCAGCCTTTCCAGTGCTTGCCCCGGGACAGACAGACCTCCCTCCCTCCCGTGTCTGCCCCAGGACACAAACCTCCCCCACCTCCCCCAGTGACCACGAAGTTTCCACCCTGGGACAGACAGATCCCCCCAGTACCCACCCAGGAACACACATGCCCTCCAGCCCCCTGCTGAGACCAGTGTATGCATGCATCTGCCTTTGCTGTGTTCTCCGGTCCGTCAAGAACACCTTGGTAAGGAGCATCCTACAAGGTCCACTGAAGGTCCTTCATAAAAGTGAAAAACGTGGGTGCTGGCTGTCCTTGGTTGATGGCCCTTCCAGTCCTGCAGCCCAAGTTCTCTCAGCCATAGTCACACGTGAGCTGGGCATTCACAGGAGACGAAGGAGAGTTCACAAGGGAGTGAGCGCCGTGTGGAGAAGTGCTCTGGGAGCTAGAGGGGCTGCAGACCCTGAGTTTGTCAAACCCTCAGAGCCTCCACCTGCACCCTCCGATCCCGGAATGAAATGTGTTGGAGAGAGTGTGTGGGGTGCACTGGGTTAGATGAACTCACTGCTGGCAGGTACTCTCTAGTGCTTCAGAGACACGCGGACCACGTGTTTCCACGAGCAGACTCTTCTCCAACATCTGTGCTTGCTGTCTGTGTTGAAGCTGCTCTTCGTGACGCAATGAAGCACATGGCTGCAAACTAAGAGATCAGTGGTTCAAACCCACCCAGTGTCTCTTTAGGAAAAAGATCTGGCAGTCTGCTCCCATGAAGATCCCGGCCTAGAAACCCCTGGGGCAGGTCTAGTGTGTCAGGGCGATCGCTGTGAGTCAGAGTGGACTGTGTGTCTCAGACACGCCTCAGGAATGTAACGGCTGGTGGTTATGTGCCCTGGAGTCGGTTCCGGCTCATAGTGACCCTGCACAGGGTTTCCGAGGCTATAAATCTATGGGAGCAGAAAGCCTCAGTTTTTTTCCGTGCAACAGCTGGGAGTATCGAACTGCTGACCTTACGGTTCACAGCCCGATTCCTAACCACTATGCTAGCAGAGCTCCTTTACAGGCTTCTTCCCACATGGGATCGTCTCCACAGGTAGAAGGGGTTAGGGTTCTGGCATAGTTTACAGGGGACAGTACTCCTGTCCTGTTCTTCCTGACATTTTCCTCCCAGGACAGGGAAGTGGGCTAGTGTTCTTTTGTCTTGGCAGTGCTGGGTCAGGACTCGTAAACATGAGCAGGTGGTGTATGTCCAGGCCCAGGGACTGTTCGATTCATGGGTTTTCAAGAGGGAGCAGAGATCTAGCTTTACCCGTATGAAAGGTTCTCATGACTGGAGATGGTGGGCCACTAATGACAGACGGAACCGTCTGCACTTGAACCTGATGCACCTCTCCCCTGACTTCCCATCCTGCCATGACCAACCATTCCCCATACCCTCCTTAGCTCTCTGTGACCCATGACCTTCACCCTTACATGACTCCTCCCCTCCCCATGACCTTCGACCTGGCATGACCCATTTCCTCTCTCCAGTTTCCTGTGACCAATGACCTTCAGCCTGGCATGACCCCTTACCGCCCCTCAGAGCACCCTGTGAGCCATGACCTTCAGCCTGGCATGACCTCCACTCCCCCCAGAGCTCCCTATGACCCATGACCTTTGAACTGACATGACCCTTCCCCTCCCCCCAGAGCTCCCTGTGGCCCATGACCTTTGGCCTGGCATGACCCCTCCACTCCCCCCAGAGCTCCCTGTGGCCCATGACCTTTGGCCTGGCCTGCTGCGCTGTGGAGATGATGCACATGGCAGCGCCCCGGTACGACATGGATCGCTTTGGTGTGGTCTTCCGAGCCAGCCCGCGCCAGTCAGATGTGATGATTGTGGCCGGCACACTTACCAACAAGATGGCCCCTGCACTACGAAAGGTAGTTGTGCATCCCTGAGCCACCACGGAGCTCCAAGGACCCACCTGGCACTGAGCCCTCCGTTCCCCTTTCTTCCAGGTGTATGACCAGATGCCTGAGCCCCGTTATGTGGTGTCGATGGGGAGGTGAGTGTGGGGCCCCTCATGTGCTGGCTGCGTTGTTTCCTTCCATGCTTTTCTCTGTGTTGTCTGCTGATCGTGCAGCCCAGAACAGGGCATACCTGTGACAAGAGACAGCTCAGGTGTCCCATCCCCAGGACAGAGCCAGGCTGAGTGTCCCCACATCTCCTCCAGGAACACGGCCCTGGCGTCATTCTGGGACCCACTTCATCTTTTATTTGTAGTATTTTGTTGTTGAGACTACACAGCAAATCACATCCCAGTGATGTTGGAGACTCCCCTCCCCTCCTTCTCTTACAGACTCCCAGCCCCCGGGAGTCCTAGCTGTTGTCAGCTTGACCCCATGTTGGTAGAGTTTGAAGAGCTCGTTGCGCCAGGTGGACGTTATGTTTGGGAGGGCGGACTGTTGTTTGGGATGGTGGCCCCTAGGTGGAGCTGCCCTCAGCTACCTCTCTCACCCCCAGCTGCGCCAACGGTGGGGGCTACTACCATTACTCGTACTCTGTGGTGAGAGGCTGTGACCGCATCGTGCCCGTGGACATCTATGTCCCAGGTAGGCCTCTGCCGGAGCTCTGCCCCCACGCCACCCCACAAGCCGCCAGGGTCCAGGTCATCCGGCCCCCCCCCCCCCCCCCGCCAGTGTCCAGGTCATCCGGCCCCACACCCCACCCCACAACCCGCCAGGGTCCAGGTCATCTGGCCCCATGTACAGGGCGCACATTTCCTGAGGAGTAAGCGTCCCAGGTTAGCCCGCTTCCTCCCCACTACAGCAGCCCCGCCTCACCATCTGCGTAAACCCAGGGAAGGGGATGAAAACAAAGTAAGAGGTTCCCGTCAGGCACAGTGCTTGTCCCAAAGTCCTGGGCTCCAGAAGGAACCCCTAGGGTAGGAAAGTGCACAGTCTCAGTCAGATGAATGGGAGTGTTAAGCAAACAAGGAACAAGTTTCGAGCATCAGTGTATCCCATGTCATAGTTGGCATATACTTTAACTCAAAAGAAGAAAAAAATACAAGGGGACTGCAGAAAGTTAGTGGGAGAGTGGAATTCAAAGATGGTGGGATTTTCCATACTTGTTGAAGCCCCCTCATATAGGTTATTTTTCTGAAATTCACACATAAGTGGAGGCCCGTGTGGTGACCCTCACTCAGGCCCTACTCCCCATTTCTGTGTGTCCCTGTGCCCCGTCCTCCGGGGCTTCTCCTGCCCCTGGACCTCTGGCCCTCTGACTCCACACCTGGGCCTGGGACCCCCGGGTGGCTGGGGTGCAGGTGGGAGACTGAGGCGTGGTCCCCGCAGGCTGTCCGCCCACGGCCGAGGCACTGCTCTACGGCATTCTGCAGCTGCAGAGGAAGATCAAGCGGGAAAAGAGACTCAAAATCTGGTACCGCAGGTAGCGTGGTACCATGCCCACACCGATCAGCCACGTGTCCTTCTGACATTGTTAATAAACCCAACCCACCTCCTTCCTGCCCGTCCGCCAGTGTGGTGCGTGTGGAGGGGCAGCACAGCAGATGGCCCCATGGAGGGTTGGGGGAGGACTCGGGAGGGTGGTTCCTGGACCCTGGGCAGGGTCTGTCCTCAGCTGCTTCATGAATCCCCTGTGTCCGGGAGGTGAAGGACAGCCTGCCCCACTGTGTGGAAGGAGTGGACTTGAGCGTCCTGTACTCATGTGCACCCCGCCTTGGGGCGGGCATACAGAGTGACCACTGTTCTGGGGCAGGAACAGAGGGACGAGCTGCATCCTATGGCTGCCCTTCAGGCCTGGACATAGGGGGTAGGGAGACAGGTCAAGGCTTCTTGGGGACCTGCACCAGGGCTTTGGGGTGACCCGTTGGTGGCTCACGACCCTAGGCACTGCCCTTCACCCTTCTCACAAACGCAGATTCAGTCACCCAACTTGTGATCTGGCCACTTGGTTGAAGTCACAGGTGGTTCTCCATGTGATGGGTCTGGGCTGGAGTGGAGGGAGGAGGATCTACGGAGGGTGCAGGCAGGTTGGGCCCCAGCCAGGTGGACTCAGTGGGGGCTGCCCCTACACGGGCACTGGGGAACTTGTGTGGTACCCAGGAGACAGGGCACATTTGAAAACAGCCAAGTACATGAGTGTGTCCTGGGAGCAGAGCCCAGGGGCTCACACAAGGGATGGGCGGCCAAGGGCCCTCGTGGACCCTGGATGGCCAGGGAGGGGGAGACCCTTGGTGCTTCCTCTGTACCCTAGGGAGTCTCCTCTCAGAGCCCAGCTGCCCCCGGAAGGGAGAGCATGCCTGCCTGGTGGCTAAGGCCATGGGTGGTTAACTGGTGATGTGTCCCAAAGCCCTTCCATGGATAGGGTTAGATAAACGCACATTCACACAAGTCCTAGGAGCTCTGGCAGCATAGCTACAAATCAGGCCGCTAACCTCAAGGTCAGCAGCTCAAGATGAGGCTTTCTGCTCCTGTAAAGATCTGCAGCCTTGGAAACCCTGTCCAGGGTCGCTGAGTCCAAACCTACTCCACAGCACACTACCACCACCAATTAGCCAAGTCCAGTGTTAGTGTTTTATTTCACCTTTCAACGACCCTGTGGAGGAGGTAGTAATACTCCCCGTTTTAGACAAAGATGAGGAGGGTTAGAGGAAGGCACTGGGTGGGGGTGGGGAACGGTTCAGTGCCGGCTCACGAGGGGCACAATCATCTGTGGGAAGGCATAGTAGCGGCACTCGGCTGGCGGGCTCAGCCCCATCACCTCCGTGCGCATGTTCTCCCGACGGAAGCCCGCCTCCAGCAGCGCCGGTACCTGCGTCTCCTGATCGGCCAACAGGGACAAGGTGCCAAGTTAGGTCCCCAACACCTTATGGCACCATTCCCCTCCTTGAACACGATTCCTGAGTGCCAAGACAGGGAAATGGCCCCTGCCCAGCGGGGCTTCCGCACAAGTTTCTCACTGCAAGGTCTTTTCCAGGCAGAGGAATGGGGGCCTATCAGGGAGCCACAGGTGGTGGAGCTAGGGAGGGCCGGGCTACTGAACGGACGTTCACAGGAGAGACCTGCACAGGGTTGCCTAGGGTCATACCCCAGCCCGCCAAATTCCCATTTACAGCAACTGTGACCGGACTTGGAAATGGGGGTCTTCGCGGTTGTTATTAAACAAGAGGTCATGCATTAGGATAGGTCCTGTTGGTGGCCTTGTAAGGAGAGGGGAAGCTGGGAGGGAAGACACTGAGGGCAGACGGAAATGTGAAGTCTGAGGCCATAAAAGCCGGGAAAGAACTGGCAGGAGGGACCCTAGGTTCAGGATTCTGGGCGTGTTTCATGCCACCCAATTTGTGAGACTTTGTTTTGACAGCCTGGGGGAGGGGAGCTGTTGCCTGCCTGTCCAAGGTCCCTGGGGAGGGGCCAGGTGGGGATCCCTGGGAGCCACTGCACCTGGAACATGGCAGAGATGTCCGAATATTTGGTCTTCATCAGCTCCCCCCAGGATGTGAGGTTGCAGTAGGTAAGGACGCCCCCTGGCTTCAGCAGGCGAAAGGCGTGGCCCTAGAGACAATAGAGACCCCCCCACATCCTGGCAGTTTACAGACAAGCTCCCACTACCCTGCCTCTGCCCCCAAAATGGTCCTCCTTATGATGGGGCCTCTTCCCACCGCCACCCATTCCCACCTTGATGAAGTTGAACTGGTGAGTGTGCCAGGTGTCCTCGGACAGTGGGTAAGTGTCGTACAGGATCCCTAGAGAGGACAGACAAGACACCCACCTGTCATGGTCAGCACCAGCCACATGGCCTGAGAGCCCAGGGCTATACTGGGCCGCTGCACTAGCTCCTCCCTCAATTGTATTGTATCCGATATCCAGGTGTTTATTATGCTCCTGGTCACTCTTATGTCGGAACTGACTCCACGGCACACAACCACCCGGATAAGCACTGGACCTATAGGATAAGCACTGGACCACAGGGTCATTTTGAACTGAAAAGTTGATGTTCAAACCCACCAGCCGCTCCTCAGAAACCCTATACAGGGTCGCTGTGAGTCAGAATGACTCCATACAGAGCCACCACCACTGTGTACCCAGCCTTCAGTATGGGCTGTGCATCAACGTAAAGAAAAACTTCTCACCACTGGACCAGTAAATAATATCAGGATAAATAATGGAGGAAAGATCGAAGTTCAGACTTCATTTTGCTCAGATCAACCATCAACGCCCATGGATGCAGCAATCAAGAAATCAAGCAGTGATTTAGGCACATCTGCACAAGACCTCTTTAAAGTGCTCAAGAGCAAAGATGTCAGCTTGAGGACTAAGGTGCGCCTGACTTAAGCCATGATATTTTCAATAACCTCAGATGCGTGTGAAAGCTGGACAGTGAATAAGGAAGGCCACGAAGAATTGATGCATTTGAAGTAAGGTGTTGGAGGAGAATATTGAAAGTACCGTGGACTGCCAGAAGAACCAACATGTTTGGAAGAAGTGCAGCCAGAGTGCTCCCTGGAAGCCTGCATGGTCATATTTCATCTCATACTTCAGACATGTTAGGAGGGACCAGTCCCTGGAGAAGGATACCATGTGTGGTCAAGTGGAGTATCCCCAGCGAGATGGACGGCACAGTGGCGGCAGCAATGGGCTTAAGCGTAGCAATGATTGTGAGGTTAGCCCAGGACCAGGCAGTGTTTTGTTCTGTGTATGAGTTGGTCTGACTTGACAAACACAACAACAAACATGTACCCAGGAAGGCGCCTTGGTAGCACTGTGGGTTTAGAATTGGGCTGCTAACCAAAAAGTTGGCAGTTTGAACCCACTAAGAGAAAAGGCAAGCAGTTATCGGCAGTTCAAACCCACCAGCTGCTCCTTGTAAACACTATACAGTGTTGCTATGAGTCAGACGGTGAGTTGGAACCAACATGATGGCACTTACCAACATTCCATAAAGACTTAGTGCCTTGGAGACCCTCTGTCCTACAGGGTCCCCCATGAGTCCCAACAGCCCGGATGGCAGTGGGTGTTAGTGTGCACACAGCACACCACGTAGGCCTTTCAATGCCCTGACCTTCCCTGAATTGTCACCCCAAGGGTCACATTAGGGATGGATCTCTCTAGAAGGTCCCTCTGTAGCAAACAGGGGCTAGCAGGGGGAACTTAGGCAGAGGTGGTCCCTGGGAGTGGAGAGACCCAGTATGTTTCTAGTAATGAGACTCCTCCCTCTCCAGCCCCCACAGCCCCTCACCATCAAAGTGACCATCTGGCAGGGTAGGTGCCACCTCTTCCCACAGGCCTTTCAAGGGGACGACCTTGGGACAGAAGACAAAAGACTGAGGGTCAGAGTGGGCCCCTTTTAGCTAAAAGGGAAGGAGAAAGCAGAGGAACTCCCATGGGTGAAGACCACCTCCCGCCTGTCTGGGGACAGAGCTTCCTCTTGAAGGGCAAAGCAACCTTGTGGGGCTGCTGCAGGGCCCAGTCCTGAAGCCGCAGGAACACATCGTCATTGCACTCGATGATCCAGTGCTCGTCTATGGGAGCCTCCTGGATCCTGGAGGCCGCGATGGCCATGCCGAAACCCACTTCCAGGACCCGGCCACCTGGGCACACAAAGGGTGTGGAAAGGCTGGGAGGCCGCCAGAGGAGGAGGCGGTGCCTGGCAGAGAGGAAGGTTCTGGACAGGGGCCAGCAGCTGGACAGGGATGCGGAGTGCTGGCGATTTTCTGGTTCAGTCTGAGGGGAAGGTCAAACCCTTGGACTCTGAGCCTCTGCCCACGCTGTTAAAGCTGACATACTTATCACCCGTTTTGGTTACTTTTCCTCTGGACACGGTGAGACCTGACTTTGAGGTCTCCTGACCTGGAACAATCCGAAGGGGCGGGATCCTCACTAGGCCACGAAGAGGAGTGGAGAGAAAAGCCCTACCGAAGCAGCCCCCTACCACAACCACTTTTGTGTCCTTTTGCTAGGTGGGGAAACTGAGGCACCACCTTAAGACTACACTCGGGGCCTCCGGGGACCCAGGCATCCCTCAGTGCCATTTGGAAACCACCACGGCGGGCGGGCTGCCACAAACGCACAGCTGTCTCCCCATTCTCAGTTTTCCCCGGGGCTATTCTTAGCCGAGGGAGGGGGTGGGGCTTCCCCAGTGGGGCTGCCAGATCCTGCAACTTCGCCCACTCAACCCAGGCGGGGTTCCCGAGTCTGTAGACCCATCCCCCTCCCGGGAGACACAGTTCCCGGGACTTAGGAGCGCCCACAACCTGCAGGACCTCCATTTCACCCTCTCCGCCTCATTAGCAATCCTACGGGCGAGTGGAGGCAGAGAGATGCTGGCGGCTCCAGCCTAGGTTTCCCGCAGGCTACCTCTGGAAGCGGCGGCAGCTGCCAGGGCGTGCATGTAAGGCGTCTCCCAGCGCTCCATCACTGGCTTGCCCAGGATCTGCAGGTGCGTGTCCGCCTCGTCGTAGGCCGCGGGTGCCGCGCCCCACGCGGGGCTGCAGTTCTCGCCAGGAGCGAAGATGGGGACGGCGACGGGGGCGCTCATAGTGCGGCTGGCTGACGCGCTGGGATCTCTGGCTCCCGAGTTTGCTTTGCGCGCGGCTGGGCCTGCGGGGCTCTGGGCGCGGCCCGCGGGTTGGATGGTGGGTGTGGCCTGCAGTGTCGTCGGTGGGGGTTGTGGGTGGGATAGTGGGCGGGGCCGAAACGCCTCTAGTGGCAACTTGAGGGAACGCGCAAACTCCAGGCAGCCCCTGCCCTCTGCCATAAGGGCGAGCAACTAGCCATTCCTCGCCTTGTCCCTGGCCAGCCTGAGTTTACCTATCCCAGCGTGAAACCTCCTCCATTCCAGGGGTGAGGAAAGGAACTTGAGTGGACGCAGACTCTTGACGACCTCACAGGTCTCAGAGTAGAGCTATGCTCCATAGGGTTTTCGATGGCTGATTCGTCCCAACAACATCACCAGGCCTTTTTTTCCGATGCACTTCTGGATAACCACCGTGATAGCTTGCATGTTGCTATGACGCTCTATTCCAGGAGGGTCATCATCAGTCCTAGCCAGAATTCATCGGAGCTTCTAGATTACGGTAGACTTGGAAGAAGAAGCTGGCTATCTACTTTGAAAAAACATCAGGCACTGAAAATCTTATGGCTAGCAGCCGGGCATTGTCTGCTATAGTGCTGGAATATGAGCCCTTCGGGCGGCCAGTCCCTTAAAAAAACGAGTAGAGGAGAGCTGCCTACGCAAAGTAGAGCTGGCCTGAATGATGTGGGTGGAGCCAAGCTTTCCAGACCTTCATTTGCTGATGGGGCATAACTCCGTACGAGAGGAAAGAAACAGCTTTAAACATCCATTTAAATGATTGGAACATGGAGTGTGCAAAGTATGAAGCTCGGAAAATTGGAAGTCATCAGAATGAAATGGATTGCATAAAGAAAGCTATCCTTGGTGTTCGTGAACTGAAATGAACTGGTATTCACCATTTTGAATTGAACAATCCTATGGTCTACTATTCCAGGAATGACAGACTGAAGTGGAATGGCCTCACATTCATTGTCAAAAAGAACATTTCAAGTTCTATCTGGA